TTCTTTGTCTTTGCTGTGCCTATTGGAAGTTGCTCGCCTACACTTACTGCCTACCCTAGTATTGTTATCCTCCTTCTCAAGTCTTTGATGAGGCTGAAGATTAGACTGCCACAATTATTGTTCTCTCTTCCTAGATAGAAATATTAGATCCGAGACTTAAACTTTCCAGCTTAGGACAACTCTATAGTAATGTCTGTCTTGCCTCTACCCTGGGACTGGACATGTAGTTCTTGTCACTTGCTCTTGTTGCTTCACTGGCAATAGGTCTAAGTGTGTTTGTTCTTACTTTTCCTTCTCCTAAAGTATATTGATATTTGCTATCTTTGTATATAGTTTTGTATCAAGCCTAATTTTTTTCTTTACACTAAAAGAGGAATTGCAGTAAGATATCCACCCTGCTTGCACCTGTAGCACTGTCCACACCTGTTTGGGCATGGTCACTGGTGCAGACTTGACGGAGAGTGAGTTTAGGTCTGGGATCGGAACAGGTGACAATCTCTTGTGCTTCCAGCCAGGTCACAGAGGACAGCCTGGGTGGATCCTTGGAGAGGGAACTTTCGACATTTGCCTGCTTCTTGTGTAAGTAACTTCTCCCCAAATAAAGTTCACTTAACCTGTATTGAGTCTATCAAATCTTGATTCCCACACAATATTATTCTGTTCTGGTTTGCTGTTGTTGTTATTGTTTGATCATCTCTCTCTCTCTCTCTCTCTCTCTCTCTCTCTCTCTCTCTGTGTGTGTGTGTGTGTGTGCCTGTATGTGTGCATTTCCATATGAAGCTGAGAATTTTTAGCATCACTCATGTATACTATCATGTCATATGTAAATAAACTTACTTTGACTTCTTACTTTCCTATTAGTATCCCTTTGATCTCCTTCAGTTGTCTTATTGCTGCAGCTTTCAAGTAAAATATTGAATTAGTATGGAGAGAGTAGACAACCTTGTCTAGATTCTAATGAGAATGTGTTATGATAAAACTTTCCGCCAAAAGCCACCTGAGCCCCACCACCACATGTGAGCTTTATGCCAGCTGCCTGTCCGAGTTAGGCCCAAATGAATACACAGAAACTTGTATTAGGTTCAAAGCTGCTTGGCCAATGACTAGGATTCTCATCTGTTGGCTCAGTCTTAATTATCATAAATCTATATATTTTATAAGACTTATCTTATCAGGCGCCTTATTGACGTCCCTCCTTGCCGGTGGCTCACAAGAATGCTTTGAGTTTCTGTCCATTTAGGTTGATGTTGGGTGTGAGCTTTCTGTAGATTTCTTTTATTATGCTGATGTATGTGCTTTGTATCCCTGTCTCCCCAGGACTTTGTCAGAAAGGGGTGTTGGTTTTTGATGAAAGACTTCACTTCAGCTAGTGAGATGATCATGTGTTGCTTTTTTCCCATAGTGTTTATATGGTGGATTACATTTATTGAATTATATATTTTGAACCATCCCTGTGGCTGCCTTCTTGATCATGGTAGATAATCATTTTTGTGTTCTTGGATTTGGTTTGCAAGTATTTTACTGAGAATTTTTGCATGTAAGTTTATAAGAGAAATTGGTCTGTATTTCGGTCTTGACCCGTTATTTTTCTTTCTGTTCCCTAGTTTTCATGTGTGTTCTTAAGTTACTAATATGAGATCTGTCCAATATATTTATGTGGTATGAATTTGCCTCTAACAACTACCTTCATTGTGTTGCATGAATTTGAATATGTTGCTATTATTTTCATTCAATTATAGAAGGTTTTTATTTTCCTTCTTGATTTCTGTCTTGACTCATTTTTCATTCAGTAATGGAATGTTCAGTTTCCATGGGGCATTTTTGTTTTTGTTTTGGTTTTTTGAGACAGGATTTCTCTGTGTAGCTTTGTAGACAGGGCTGGGCTCACACAGAGATCCTCCTGCCTCTGCCTCTGAGTGCTGGAATCAAAGTCAAGTGCTACTACTGCCCAGCTTCAGTTTCCATGAGTTTTTAGGTTTCCTGTTGTTGATATCTAGTTTTAATCGTTGAGACTTGTTTTCTGTCCAAGTATGTGATAAGTTTTGGAGACTGTTCCATGAGGTGTTGAGAAAAAGGTCTATTCTTTTGTTTGGCAAAACTGTTCTGAAAATACCTGTTAGGTCTATTTGGCTTATGAGATCATTAGCTCTAGAATTTAGTTTTTGTCTGCATGACCTGTCTGCTGATATGAGTGGGGTATTGAAGTCACTCATATCACTGTATAAGAGTCAATATGTGATTTGGGCTGTAGTAGTGTTTTATGAATTTGGGTGCTCTTGTGTGAGTGCATAGATGGTCTCCTTTATAGTTGGTGCCAATATCACCAAGAATCCAGGTCTAGATCATGAGAGTTTAACAGGAATTCTCCAAATCCAAGAACTGAATAACTAGAATACTCTAAACAAATAAGACCATGATAAAATAAGAAAACTCCAAATATGAGTGAGTGCGTACCAGGTTTATCTTTCTGTGTCTGGATTACCTCACTCAGGATGAGTTTTTTTCTTTTTCCATCCATTTTCCTGCAAATTTCATGATTTCACTGTTTTTTTCCCTGCTGAGTAATACTTCATTGTGTAGATATACCTCATTTTCTTTATTCATTCTTTAGTTGTTGGGGATTTAGGTTGTTTCCAGGTTCAGGCTATAATGAATAATGCTGCTATGAATATAGTTGAGCAAGTATCCTTGTGGTATGATTGGGCATCTGTGGTGATATATTATTTATGGTTTACTAAAGCGTATCTGAGGGTACAGAAAGGATAGTGAGCCAAAGCCACAGAGACAGGCAGTGGTGTACACAGCTTTAATCCCAACAGCCATCTTAGTAAGCCATTGAGCCTGGAAGTAGTGGCACACACCTTTAATGCTAGGACTCAGGAGACAGGCAGAAGGATCTCTGTTAGTTCAGGGCCACCTTCACCTACACAAGACTGACGAGTAGCAGAGTTCATGCCTTTGATCCCAGCAAGTAGAATCTCATGCCTTTAATCCCAGCACTAGGGAAGTAGAGACAGGAGCGATATGGCTGGGCAGAGAAAGGAATATAAGGTAGGAGTAGTCAGAAACTCAGAGCTTTTGCCTCTGAGGATTCATGGAGACAGTATTGCTATTTCAGCTTGCTAGAGTTAAAATGAGCTGGCTTGGCTTCTTTCTTCTCTGATATTCAGCTTAAAGCTTGAACCCCAATATCTATATCTGGGTCTTTATTATTAATGGTACAAGAATCTTTTGAGTATATCCCAAGAATGGTATTGTGTGGTCTTGAGGTAGATCAATTCTCAATTTTCTGAGAAACCACCATACTGATTTTCAAAGTGGCTGTACAAATTTGCACTCCCACCAGCAGTGGAGGAATGTTCCCTTACTCCACATCCTCTCCAACATAGGCTGTCATTAGTGTTTTTATTTGACCCTTCTAACAGGTGTAAGATGGTATCTCAAAGTCATTTTGATTTGCCTTTTCCTATTAGCTAAGATTTTGAACACTTCTTTCAGTGTGTCCTGGGCATTTGAGATTCTTCTGGTGAGAATTCTCTGTTTAAATCTGTATCCCATTTTAAATAGGATTATTTAATATTTTGGTGTCTAGTTTCTTGAGGTATCAGTTCTCTGTCAGATGTGGGGTTGGTGAACATCTTTTCCAATTTTGTAGGCTGCCATTCATCTTGTTGACATAATCCTTTGCTTTATAGAAGCTTTTCAGTTTCAGGAGGTACCATTTATTGTCAGTCTCATTGTCTGTCCTACTGGAAGTAGTCTCTTGTGCCAATGTGGTCAAGGCTACTTCACACTTTCTCTTCTATCAGGTTAAGTGTAACTGGATTTATGTTGAGGTCATTGATCCACTCAGACTTGAGTTTTATGCAGGGTGATAGATATGAATCTGTTTGCATTTTTCTACATGCCACCATCCAGTAATGCCAGCACCATTTGTTGAAGATGCTTTTTTCCCTATTGTATACTTTTGACTTCTTTGTCAAATATCATGTATTCATAGGTGTGTAGATTTATATCAGCTCTTCAATTAGAATCCATTGATTCATGTGTCTGTTTTTATTCCAATGCTAAATTGTTTTTATTACTGTAGTTCTATACTAAAGCTCAAAGTCTGGTATGGTGATACCTCAGCCTCAGAAAAGCTAGTTAACAAGGAGGATCCTAACAGGGACACATGAGTCTACCTGGGAAGAGGAAATAGATAAGATGTCCTGGGTAAACTGGAGTCAAGGGGGACTACAGGGAAGAAAATGGGGGTTGGAACGTAAGGGAGTAGGATAATCAAGTTGGGTAGCAGAATGGAGAGATTAATAAAGAGATATCTTGATAGAGGAGGGCCATTATGGGGTTATGGAGAAACCTGGTGCCAGGGAGTGTCCCAGGACCCCATAAAGATGACCCCAGCTAAGACTCCTAGCAATAGTGGAGAGGGTACCTGAACCAGTCTTTGCCTATAATCAGATTGGTGACTACCCTGATTGTTATTATAGAGCCTTCGTCCAGTACCTGATGAAAGCAGATGCAGAGATACACATCCAACCTGTGGGCCAAGCACCAGGAGCCCAGTTGAAGAGAGGGTGGATGGAATACATGAGCAGACAGTTGTCCTGAGCTTATGGGAGCTCTGGATTAACAGCTAGGGTGCCGGCATAGGACCATCCTAGGCCCTCTGCATCTGGGTTACAGATGTGTAGCTTGGTCTTTTCTGGGGACCATAGGGGTGGGACCAGGACCTGTCTCTGATGTATGAGCTGGCTCTTTGGAACCTATTCCCTGTGGTGGGATGCCTTATTCAGCCGTGACAAATGGGGGAGGAGCTTTTTCTTGCCTCAACTTGATATGTCATGCTTTGTTTACTCCCATTGGAGGCCTTACCCTATATGAATGGAGACAGAGGAGGAATGGTTGGGGAGGGTAGGAGGGAGGTACAGGTAAGGAACTGGAGGAGAGGAGGAAGGGGAACCTGTGGTTGGTATGTAAAATAAATTTAAAGAGATGAATAAAAACAATCAGAAATCTCTTTAGCTTCACCAAATCATCAGTCTAAATTTAAAGACAGAAAGCCCCAAGGATCAAAAGGCAAATACAAACCTCTGAGGAGCTGAGAATTCTACCACACTCTAATGGTAGGGAACAGACAGTGACAAGATACTCTAATGGCTGGCTTGCCAAAGCCACTTTGGGATACTTAGGTTCATGCCTTTATCTTTAAAAAATAGAAAACAGAAGTAGATGAAGTAAAATTGATTTATGTATAGCTTGGTGCATGAAGCAAATGCCAAGAAATCTGAATATGTTAACTTTGTCATGGGACAGAAAGAATATGTAGAGTATCTTCCTTGAGTCAAGTTTCTCTTCTGGCTGGCACAGATTCTTAAAGGCAATTTAATTCATAGTGTCCATTATCTCAAGAGTCCCATAGCCAAAGGGATAGGCAAGAGTGTCTCCCTTTAAAGTATCTCTTCTTCTGTTATATTGATGGTTAGAAAGGGTAAACTGAGGACAGGCAGGTGTTCATGGGTTATGTGCTGAGTCAGAGACACAGCCAGGTGGGAGAGAGGTATACACAGAATCAGGGAAGGAGTCTGAGGAGAGTTAGAGAAAGGACAGAAAGATGGGACAATGGGAAACTTTACAGTCAGTCGTGGAATGAGGGTCAGAGAGGAAGCAAAAGAAATACAGACAAGTCCAGGACAAAAGCAGGTGACAAGAGAAAGTACTGCAGACAGGAGACCCCCAGAGCTGTCCTTTTCTCCAACAGAATTATCTTAGCTTCTTGAGACGAAGATAAATCCCATCCTTGGACTTCAAAACAAGTCTTTGTATGAGTACTGGGACCCTGGTGGGATCAGGCAACAGCTCAAAGCGGAGCAGAGTCAGGGCCACGGCCACCTTCAGCTCATTCATAGCAAACTGTTTCCCAATGCAATTCCTGAACCAAGCAGAGACATAGAGTGAGTTGTGCCCTCAGACATGTTCTGAGTACAGTGAGCATTGGTCCTTGAACCTCAGTCCTGAAAGGTTTTAGGGTTCCCATTCATCATATCAGCCTAATCATTTTCCTTATAGGTCACATACCTAAATATTTCCCTTGCTTTGAAATCACACAAACACCTGAATCCCTTATCTTTGTTCATAGGCTCCTGACATATGACAAACTCTCTCACTCCTCTAGGGTACCTCTGACCCTAGTCCTGCTTGTGGATATGTGAAATGTCATCTGAACAGTGCCAGCATTGTGGCAATACAGTCCAAGCACATGAATTATTTAATGAGGCGATCATTAGTTTGCCAATTCTCTCCACTAACAGTTTCTGGCTCTCCACTATGAATACCCTATTAGGGACAATATAAGGCAGAGTAGCCAACTCATCTGAGGATTATCGTCTATGCATAAAACGAATTCATCCTAGAATGGGAGTCAAATAATAGTAGTACGAGCTTCTGGCAAATGCATCTGACTGAGACTCTTCAAGCTGTCCCTCCATCTTCCTCTAACTCAGTTGTCAGGCTCATCAATCAATCCCTCAGACTACCATCATCTGTAGTCATCTAACCTGACTCCAGAAAAGCTCTTATTTGCATTTTCTTTGCTATCTTAGTCTTTTGTTCTCCACACACTTCCTCCTATGCACTCCATCAGGTAGAACAGCATCCAGATGCCCCAGGCATAATCTAACTTAGTGTAGGATTGTTGAGTCACCACCTCTTATCTGTCTAGTCCCATTTCCTGTTTCAATGCATGCTGCTGATGTTGCCTGTAGTGCTTCTTTTTACCCTCACTATCACATCCAAAGGAACAAACCAAGAGCCAGCCAGCTCCATCTCCTCTGTGGCTGTTCATCTCCTCCAGGACAAAGGCATCATTGGTGCTTTTTTCAAGGGTTCACCACACTTCAGATCATAGGACAGCAAGGGATATGTAATAAACTGTCAATGATTGTTGCATGAGTGAAAACTAAAAGTTCTGGTTTAGTTTGTATAAGAAATATAATTCTAAAATATAAAGGTCAGAATTTGTGACAATACCAAAATACACTAATCTTCTATACAAATGTTTGAGTTGCCACAGGACAGTGGGTTAAAAACCTCTGTAGTATACTGAATTGCCATCTTTCTTTTGGCCCATATATTGACAGAGATCCACACAAGTAGCCCAGACATAAGCAATCAGAAATATAAAATATTAATATGTACCAGAGACTCCCTTCCCCAACCCTTTCCCATCACCTTGCTCCTCCTGAGAAGGGCAGGAAAGCATAGCTGTGCCGAGAAGAATCTGGTGCAAATCTAGATGGGTCAAACTCCTGCAGAGAGAGCACAAGGGCTGGCATGGATGGCAGTCAAGACCATTTCCAATGCAAAAGGAGACAGGATGTCTAAAGTTGCAATTGAGTAGCTCTTGTCTTTTCTCAGGGCATTCGTACCTTAGGATTTGGCCATAAACTTGGATTATGGTGAAGACCATAAATGGAGATTGCAACTGTGATACCTGTGAAGGGAGAAGATATTGAGTGAAATATAATTAAGCCAAATAAATAGGGCTCTAAACTCATACTCAATAAGAGACTGGCATGCACAATTGGCCTGCATATAAGGAGTCATCACTTAGAGTTAATGATCCTTTTGGGGATAGGGAGATTAGTGAAGCATGCTAGAAAACCATGGACCCAGTGATGGCTGACAGCAGTGAAATATTGAGAGTCTCCTGCTTCTAGTAAGTGAGGTGACAGCACATATTCATCAAATGTCTCACACCTACAATTGAAGAACATATAGTATCTCAAATAATACACACAAGGCCCTCCCCACCATCCCAAAACCACTGTTTTATGCCCATTTTTCTTATGAAAACTAAATTCTCAATGAGGCCTGTTATCTTTCTTATGTTTACACTGCTAGGATGTGGCAGAGGTGGGATCATATCCATTGATGAGTTCACTAATATGTGTTTTCCTATGGAGACAAGGAGCTCAAAACATACCATCACCTCCTCTCTTTCATCAACTCAAATTGTCCTGAGAAAATGAGAGAGATTACACCCACACATAGGATTCCATTATCTTTTTCATTTGCTTTTACTCATGAACAAAACTATATCACCACAAGTCTTGTGTCATTCTTTTTCAACCCTGAATATCTTGAGTGATTGAAATTTCAAGGCTGAGAATGACATTTAACTAGAGGGTGGCATTTCTTCCAGAAGACTTCTTCACTTTCAATGTTATGACCTCACTTCAACTTCAAAATAAGGATCCAATGTACTGAGACAACAGAAACACACATGAGGAATTAGGTGACTGGCTATTGTTACCTTTAGGTAAGGAGCGTCCATCTGGGAAGGTGATAGGTGTGTTGAGCTCTCGACTAACAATTGGTACTGGTGGGTAGAGCCTCAGGGCCTCCTTGATGCACATGGTAGTGTAGGGCATCTGGTCCAGGTGATCCCTGAAATAAAACCCATTCTGAAAAAACACATAGAGCTGGGAAGACCAGAAAAAATAATCCTGGGCATGGCAACCCAGACCCAGGAAGACAAACATGGAATATACTAACTTATAAGTGGATATTAGCTGTTAAGTAAAGGATAATCACACTATAATCCACAGACCCAGAGAAGTTAGTTAAAGAAGAGAGGTCTAGGATGGACATGTGGATCTCCCTGTGAAGGGGAAATAGAATGTATTTTGTGGGTAGACTGGAGGCAGGTGGGATTGGGAACAGGAGGATCAGGTGGTGAGGAAGGGACAGAGAAAGACCATAAAGTCTAAATTGCCCATCTTCTGTAACCAGGCAAGATCCCAGTGGTGGGATTGGGACATCAACACAACCACAAAACCCATGACCCACAACTTGTCCTGCCTGCAAGGTGCAATAGGACAATGGTGGTTTAGAGCTTTTGGGGGTGTCCACCTAATGACTGGTCTACCTTGAAGCTCACATTACTACAGGGAGCCTGGATAGCCAGGATCAGGAAGCTTTAAGACTCAGAAACCTAGGGTAGAACAAAAGATGATGATTCACAAAAAAAGTCAGTGAAATGATTCCTGATGATATTCTGCTATTCATGTAGATCAGTGTGTAGCCCCGTCATCACCAGAGAGGCTTCTTCCAGAAGCTGATGGAACAGATATAAAGACCCACAGCCAGCTTGCCCCCCATGCCCTCAGTCCTCTGCTTGAGGTGAATGTGGGCTCTGCTCAGTCCAAACTCCCTCAATCCTCCTGTTGGAACTTGCTAGGTCTGCTCTGCTCATAGTGGACCCACCCCAGTAGGACGAACCACCCAGAGTCTGGCCATACCTCAGTCTTGGCCCCTCTAAGACCTCCATCCTCCTCCCTCCACCTGAATTTTGGCCCTTCCTATGCCCTCCAAAAATTTGAAAATTAATGGAAATGGACAATTTCCTGGATATATATCACCAAAATTAAATCAAAAACAGATAAGCAACTTAAATAGACCTACAACCCCTAATGAAATAGAAGCAGTCATCAAAAGTCTCCCAACCAAAAAAAGCCCAGGGCCAGATGGTTTCATGCAGAATTCTACAAGAAATTCAAAGTAAAGCTAATACCAATGCTCACAAAGTGTTCCACGCAATAGAAGCAGAATGTTCATTGTCAAACTCTTTTTATGTGGCTACAATCACCTTGGTACCCAAGCCACACAAAGACTCATCTAAGAAAGAGAAATACAGACCAATATCCCTCGTGACCATTGATGTGAAAGTACTCCATAAAATACTGGCAAATCAAATCCAAGAACACATCAGAGAAATCATCCAACATGATCAAGTAGGCTTCATCCCAGGGATGCAGGGATGGTTCAACATAGGAAAAATCAATCAATGTAATTCACCATATTAACAAACTGCAAAAGAAAAGCCACATAATCATCTCACTAGATACCGACAAAACCTTTGAGAAAAATCCAACACCCCTTCATGATAAAGGTCTTGGAGAGATCAGGGATAACAGGAACATACCTAAACATAATAAAAGCAATATACAGCAAACCAACAACCAACATCAAATTAATGGGGAGAAACTCAACATGATTCCACTAAAATCAGAAACAAGACAAGGCTGTCCACTCTCTCCATACCTCTTCAATATTGTACTTGAAGTTCTAGCTAGAGCAGTAAGACAGCAAAAGGAAACTAAGGGAATCAAACTGGAAAGAAAGAAGTCAAACATTCACTTGATTTGTACATGATATGAGAGTTTAAATAAGTGACCTGAAAAAACTTCACCAGGGACCTCCTACAACTGATAAACACCTTCAGCAAAGCGGCAGGGCACAAGATTAACTCAAAAAAAAAAAAAGTCAGTAGCTCTACATGATATATAGACTATAAATGGGCTGAAAAAGAAATCAGAGAAACATCACCCTTTACAATAGCCACAAGCAGCATAAAATATCTTCTGGTAATGTTAACCAAACAAGTGAAAGACCTGTATAGCAAGAACTTTCAGTCTTCAAAGAAAGAAATTAATGATAACAGAAAATGGAAAGATTCCCTATGCTCTTGGATAGGTAGGATCAACATAGTAAAAATGAAATCTTGCCAAAAGCAATCTACAGATTCAATGCAATCCCCATCAAAATCCGAACACAATTCTTCACAAACCTTGAAAAAACAATGCTTGACATTATATGGAAAAACAAAGAAACCCAGGACAACAACCCTGTACAATAAAGGAATTTCTGTATGCATCACCATCCCTGACTTCAAGCTCTACTATAAAGCTATAGTAATAAAAACAGCTTGGTATTAGCACAAAAACAGACAGATAAAACAATGCAATCTAATTGAAGACCCTGATATTAACCCACAAACCTACCACCACCTGATTTTGGACAAAGAAGCTAAAATTATACAATGAAAAAAAGAAAACATCTTCAACAAATGGTGCTAGCATAACTAGATGCTGACATGTAGAAGATTGCAGATAAATCTGTATCTGTCACCATGCACAAAACTTAAGTCCAAATGGATCAAAGACCTCAACATAAATCCATCCACACTGAACCTCTTAGAAGAGAAAGTGGGAGGTATCCTAGAATGAATTGGTAGAGGAGACCACATCACAAACATAACACCAGTAGGACAGACACTGAGATGGACAATTAATAAATGGACCTCCTAAAACTGAGAAGCTTCTGTAAGGCAAAGGATACAGTCAATAAGACAAAATGGCAGCCCACAGAATGGGAAAATATATTCACCAATCCCACATCTGAAAGAGGGCTGATTTCCAAAATATACAATCAACTCAAGAAGCTATCCACCAAAACACCAAACAATCCAATTAAAAAGTGGGGTACAAGCTGGGCGTTGGTGGAGCACACCTTTAATCCCAGCACTAGGGAGGCAGAGGCAGGGGGATCTCTTTGAGTTTGAGACCAACCTGGTCTACAAGAGCTAGTTCCAGGACAGCCTCCAAAGCCACAGAGAAACCCTGTCTCAAAAAACCAAAAAAAAAGTGGGGTACAAAAAAAGTGGAGACAGAACTAGAGAATTCTCAATAAAGGAATGGCTGAAAGACACTTAAAAAAGTGCTCAAAATCATTAGCCATCAGGGGAATGCAAATCAAAACAACTGTGAGGTACTTTCACTGGCCAGAATGGGTAAAATAAAAAAACTCAAATGACAGTCTATGCTGGAGAGGAGATAGACAAAGAGGAACACACCTCCATTACTGATGGTAGTGCAAACTTGTGTGGCCATTTTGTAAATCAGTATGGTGGTTTCTCAGGATAATGAGAATCAGTGTACCTCAAGATCCAGCAATTCCTCTCTTGGGCATATACCCAATGAATGAACATTCATACAACAAGGACTATGTTCAACTGTGTTCATAGCAGCGTTGCTTCTAAGAACCAGAACCTGGAAACAACCTAGATGCCACTTAACCAAAGAATGCAATGCAAAGTGTGGTACATTTACACAATGGAATATTACTCAGCTGAAAAAATGAAATCTTGAAATTTGCAGGCAAATGGATGGAACAGGAAAAAAAAAACATCCTGAGTGAGGTAACCCAATCACAGAAAGACAAGCATGGCATGTACTCACTCATAAATGGATTTTAGACATAGAGCAAAGGACTACCAGCCTACAATCCACACCACCAGAGAAACTAGGAAACAAGGAGGACCCTAAAAGTGAAACACATGCTTCCCCAAAGAAGGGGAAAGGAACAAGAACCCCTGAGAAAATTGGGAGCATTGGGGAGGAAGGGTGGGAGGTAGAAAAAGGAGAAGGGGAGAAGAGGAGAGGGGAGGAGAACAAGAGGGATCAGGAAGACTGAGAAAGGGGAGGAATAGAAGAGGGCAACAAGAGAGATACTTTAATAGAGGGAGCCAGTATAGGATTAAAGAGAAATCTTGAACTAGGGAAATGTTCAGAGATCCACAAGGATGGCCCCAAATAAGAATCTAGGTAGTATGGAGAGTCTGTCTTTTATGCCCTACAATGAGATTGATGACTACCTTAATTACCACCTAGAGCCTTCATCTGGTAGCTGATGGAAGCAGAACCATTGAGCCATACTCCCGGAATCCAGTTTTAGAGAGGGAGGGGGGATGAGCAAAGGAGCCAAGACAGTGCTGGAGACCCAAAGAAACAGTTTACCTGACCTAGTGAAAGCACAGAGACAACAGCTGTAAGCCGGGCTACCAGCATTGGACCAAACCATGCCCTCTGAATGTGGGTGCCAGTTGGGAGGCCTGGGAAGTCTATGGAACCTCTAACAGTGGAGACAGTATTTATCCCTAGTGTACAAATGGGCTTTGGAAGCCCATTCCCTATGGAGGGATACTATTGCAGCCCAGATACACAAAAAGGGCCTAAGCCCTCCCGCAAATGATGTGACATATTTTGATGATTCCCCCCCATGGAAGGCCTCACTATACTTAGGGAGTGGGTGGGGTGGGTTATGGAGGGGGTCGGTGGGATCATGGGAGGATGGGAGGTCAAGGGAATGGGGGATTGATATGGAAAATAAGATTGTTTCTAAAATATTTTTAAATGAAGAAAATAAAAAGACCTACACCAAACACTAGGTAGAACTAAGAATACCCTGAGAAGATGGGGAGGAAAGATTTTAGAAGCCAGATGGGTCAAGGACAGCACAAGAACATGGCCCATAGAATCAACTAAGCAGGACTCATAGGGGCTCACAAAGACTGAAGCAGCAACCATAAAGCCTACATGGGTCTGTGCTAAGCCCTCTACATACATGCTGTGGTTGTTTACCTTAGGGTTTTTTCAGACTCCTAACAGGGGGAATGGAACCAGGTGTGTCTGACTTTTTTGCCTACTCTTGAGACCCTTTTCCTTCCACTGGGCTGTCTGGTCCAGATTTGATATGAGGGTTTGTGGCTACTCTTATTGCATCTTGTTATGTAGTGTTTGATTGATATCACTGGGAGTCCTGCTCTTTTCTGAAGGGCAATGGAGGATCATTGGGCCTAAGGGAGAGGAGGTGGGCAGGGGATTGGAAACAGGAAAGGAGGGGAGGCTGCAGTCAGGATGTATTATCTGAGAAAAGAATAAAGAAAAAACAATTTACAAAACAAGATCTCTTGTACAAGAAGGCAGGGTCTCCTTCATCTTGAATTCTTCTCACCAGGTGACAGAGGTTCCATCTCCCAGGATGCTCTGCACCTCTTCCCTGCATCTCTGCTGGTATTCAGGGTGTGTGGCCAGAGCATAGAAAATCCAGGATATTCCACTGGCTGTGGTATCGTGACCTTCAAACATGAATGTATCCACCTCTGCACGCAGGTCCTCATCAGACAAGCTGCTCCCATCCTCCATCTGAGTGAATGCACAGGAAAGAGAGCAAAGTTTGTATCTAAGCTGTGCTTCTGAGCCAAACCTCAGCCATGAATCCCACTCACTTTGGCAAACAAGAGGATGTCCAGGAAATCCAAGCGCCTCTTCTTCTTGACCCTCTCCAGCTCTTCCTCATTCTGCAGCTGAGCCTTCCTCATCTTGATCACTCCATCTACCCCATGATAGCATTTGTCAGACAGATCCCAGAGCTGCTGTAATTCACAGGATCCCTCAGTTCAATATGTGTGTTCTATGGAGCATGCTCAGGTGGGAGTTTGGCCATGATTTGAAGTCTGCACAATCACATATACCTCAAGCCTCCAATGGATCATGGGCCACAGAGCCATGTTAAAGGCTATTATATGGATCTCATGCAGTTTGTAATGAAATGCATGTAATGAAACTGGTAATTCTTGTAGTGTACCTCATGTGTTAGCATCCTAGATTCCAAAATGTGTATCTTAGTAGTAACTAACATGGGTGTCTCAGGTCCTACAGAGGCTTCTGGTAAATTCACTATGTCTGAGATGTAAGATCATATCTTAAGGATGAGCCTGATAAAGGAAGAAGGAGGTGGGAAGGCAAACCTGTGTGCTCATGAGCAAGCTGGCAGGCACGGTAGAACCAACGGCCATCAGAGGACATTTTATAGATGGTGTTATTCTCATAGAAGGCACTCCTCATTCGAAAGAAAGCAAGGCTGTTCAGATCCTCAACAGCCTTAGTGTAGGACCTGGAATTTCTGAGGACAAGAGATAAAATGTACTGGTTATTGGAGTGTCTGATCCATGAATAGAGTGGGCCCTATAAATATTGTTTCAACTGTGGGAACACAACATGAAGGTACACATCATTTCTGTCTTATAGGGTTTCGAATCCTTGAGACTTTAGAAAATGAGCTTCCACACTTTTTTAGGTTCTATTGTATCTTGTTGGGGCTGGTTTGAAAATAGAGCTTGGCCAAGGGCTGGGTCAGAATCTTGCTTTCTGTGGAGGCAACTGTTTTCGCTGTCCCTCTTACCTCTTCCTAAGCCCTTATAGATTGGTAAGACCAAAGACTAAACTTGAAGGTGTTACTCACTCATCCAGTTGGACACTGCCCTGGTGACTGAAAGCACACTTCATAACAGTGTCCAGTGTCATTGAAGAGATATAGTGAAAGATCTCCAGAGGGCAGTTCTCACCATCAAGCTTCTCCCATCTGTCCTGTGGTGAGAATGAGACAATTTCTTATTTTATTCAGAATACCTGTGTGTAGACTAAGAATTTTCTATTTATCTATGGATAATCAGTCTGGAGTCCTTTGCCATTAAGATCATATGCTAATAGCAAATTAAAAGCATGAAGCAAATGTTTGTAATCTGAGGCCCTCTTATTCCAAACCATTTAACAACACAATGTATTTTCTTATGGTGTCCAATATTGCTTGTATGTTTTTAGAAACAAGTATCATCTTTCAATTTATGAAAATGGCCCCATTGCAAACCTGAGAGTGAACTAGACTTGAAAGATGAGTGTAAACACCAAATAGAAATAAAGCATGTGAAGGGAAAAAAGCTGGGAGCCTGAATGAACAAGCCTTGGGAGTGCTATTAGTTGCTTTAATTCTATTTCATTTATCAAAAGTGTGCTGAATACAGTGAGGCCAGAAATCAGGGCCTACTAGGAGATGATGCTGTGTCAGGGGTGAATGTGAGGATGTGGACCTTGTATCCTTTTTTCTTGGGGGTCACTGGAGACCACACAGAAGCCCTGGAGTCCAAGACATTCTTGTCTTATAAGATCTTGAAGCTACTACTGTCTAATCCAGTCAGAGACAAGGAGTCTCTACTGTATGGTGTCTTATCCACTGTGGTAAATACTCATACACACTTACCACAATGCTTTCTGAAGAGTGTGGCTCCATCTTGATGATTTGGAGCTCTCCAATGTATGCATTTGTGGGACACTTACTTACAGCAATAACATGAGTTATTAGTCTATGTGGCTGTATGGAATTGGCTTGAGAGTGGGGTCATTGTGAGTGACTATATGAAATAAGAAAGAAACATAGCAACTCACTAGCATTGTATTGACAGAGTCCGCCATGATTCTGACATAGGGTTTGAGGATGTCATAATGGAAAGCTGGGGTCAACATCCGCCGGTGCTGGAACCACTTCTTCCCATTCAACAGAAGCAAACCGTAACCTGGGCCAGAGACTGGTATGTGAATGTGTCTGATAGAAGTGGAATCAAGGCTACCCCTGAGATCATTTAGTTGAATTCATTGAGATGGAATAAGGACTAAGGACTGACTAGAAGCAGAGAAATAAAGCCTTGTTTAGGGATAGATCCTCATACTTGTGACCAGGCACCTGTTGTTCTCTGTTTTCCAAAGAGTAGTCAGGAAAACACATTGTTTATTTTCATATACCTACCAATCCAGGGAGCAAAGAGTCCATAAATTCCAGAAGCCTTTGGATCTGAAAAGTAACACAGATTTTGAGGACTGGATAAATGAGAGGGTGTTCAAACTGCAAGCTTTTTATGAATTCTTTAGTTTTTCAGAATTTTAAAACTTATTTGTGTGTGTGTGTATGTATGTGTGCGCATGCGTGTATACCTGCTCCAGTGTTTGTGTGGAGTTCAGAATACATCTGTGGAGTTGGTTCATCCCATTTTCAGATCATCAGCCTCTGACAGCAAACTCCTTGACCAGCTGAGCTGTTTTACCAACCATGTCATTAGTTCTTGGTGGATTCCTGCTGACAGTTTGTTCCCTGTCACCTCTCACTGCCTCCCATTCCTTTCTGTCTTTCTCTTGCCAGTTATCTGGGGTTAGGAAGAGAGACTTCATTGTACCAGTATCTGAATGTGCCTGTCATTATGAAGTTAAATACAAAAACCTCTCAAAGCCAAAGAATAACTAAAAGGCATGTTTTTTTTTGTTTTTTTTTTTCTGTAATTGGCTATGGCTTAGTAATCCTATGATCCAGTTAAGTAAACAATTAGAGGTTTCACATCCAAGTCTCTGGATATAAAATTTGTTCTTCACCCATAGGGAAATTTGTAAAACACATCAATTCAATTTTTAAAGACAAAAATAAGGGAAAAAAGGAACTTCAGCCCTGTGCAGCTATTTTAAGTGTTTAGAACTATGTAACTATTGCTAGTCATATGTTGGTCTCTTGACAGAGAGAATGGTAGTATTTAGGCATTGATGGCTGAAAGGTCACTCTTTTCTAAAATTTCAAGGACTTGGGGCATGAAGTTTGGATGGCAGACATGCTACAGCTGCAGTGAAGCTGGACTCTCACCTGATCTCCCCAGAATCATCTTCACATAGTCAGCGTCATAGAGCACGACTCGTGCCTTGCTCCCTGAGAGCCAGTGTAAGCAGGCACTTGGGAATTCCTCTACCCAGATAAGAATCTGCTCGAGTTCCTTGTCCTTTGGGAACAGACACCAAAGTAAAGACAAATTAATGAAATTGTTCTTTAACATCTAGTATGCTGTGTGGTATGGGAGCCGCTGAACCATCACAGGGACATAGCTCTGGAATGTTCAGACAAAGAAATTTGTGTCAGTTTGGCAAATCACCTTTTCTTTCATCCAGGACTTTTCATGTCCAAGAACTTGCCCTGGACAGATCCTGAAACCTTATTAGATGGAGTTAATGCTTTTTAGAGAAGCTATAGGGGTTAAGAGCCTCAGCATTCTGTAGGAGCTCTAAATTTATCTATTCTTAGATGTGTCTAGTGTGTGATGCTCACTGAGAGCCTCTTCATGCAGCTCCTTACCAAACTGCATTCCAGTGAGGCCTAGTAGCACAGTTAGCCAATGCTTACTGCTTGTACACACTTGGAGATGGAGGAAGCTAGTGAATCCAGCCAGTTTCAGAGATTTCATGAAGTCTTTGAATTATTTGCTCCCTGGTTAATGAGCTATTCTGCAGTATGGAATGTTTTACCTCCCCATAGAATTTCCAGTTGTGTATGGGGCTTCATTACTGAATAGGATGTTTTGTCTCTCTTTAGGGCACCTTGTATTGTAATCACAAGTTTCCCTCCACAATGGGCAGTTTTAATCTCAGGGGAAACTAATGTATAACATAGCCCCCAAATCACCATGTCTAAAAGTTCTCTAAGTCTTGAAAAACCTAGATAGCTGTTCTCTGTACATGATATCACTCACCCATTCCCTCAAGATAGGCTGTGTTCCCATGCTCTTGTATATACTGAGATTTAAGTCTATTATCAACATGAATTTTCTTTAAAAGATGTGTACTCCCTATGGTAAGGGAAACTCACTCTTGAAGTAAACTCAGTGTTCTTCAGAAACCACATGCTTATCACACAGCAAACTGCCTCATGGACTGATACTAAACTATCAGAGCTCCAGATTCTCATGTTCTTCCACCCCCACCTTTATTCCTACCTTCAGTTGGTGCCCCCAAAGCCAATGGGAAGGCGTGGATGGAAACTTCTGCAGGGTCTTGAGCAGCCACTGCCTTCTTAAGTAGAATCGGACTGCCTTGAAAAGCACCAGAAATAGACTGACCACGAAGACCACTTGGAAGAACCCAGAGACACCACCCAAGTTTCTGGTGAGGCTAAACACAGAGAAACCCATGGTAAGTCCCTTCTGGATCACTGGTGTCACTAAATATTTAGAACACCCACATTTAAGTTCTGAGAAATTTGGTCCACCTATTTGTGGGAGGGAGAATGGAAGTGACAGACAGGGATTGACCTCAGAGTCTAAAGTTTATTAACCTGAAACTTTACCTTGGAAAACAGTGAAAACAAAGCCTTAGCAAATTATCTTGGTAATAGCTATGTGTCCACCCACTTTCCTGTCTCTCTACTGCTCACAAATATTAATTGAACACCTATTTTGTGTTATTTAATATAATAGTTGATGAGGTAGAGTTATAGAGTAGACATAATTAGCCTTGATATTCAGAGATTGATATTCTAATTTACAAAACATTTAAGATATGTAGCTGCTCGTACTATTTTGTAACATCAAGGTGAAAGTGATAGCAAGGGTTAGCATTAGGGGGCATGGGAGGATGGGAGGGCAACAGAATGGGGATTGTTATATAAGATTGTTTCTAAAATTAAAGAAAACATGATAGCAAGATGCAAATTGGTGTGTTCTGTTAAATACAGTTGCTGAGAGTTTCTACACATAGATCCCCTTGCACCTGGACTCCAATCCAGCGTTTCTTACATTTTTACCTAGAGCTGTTCCCAACCCCTCTAGTTATGGTCTGGGATAGTGTGCCAATGGGTGGAACACTACAGCTGCATTCAGGAGTCTCATGACCTACGTTTGCCTACCACACGTGTAGCCTGCTACACAGTCTTTCTGTGCCTCAGTATCTTGATTGGGTAATATAATAATACCTTTTCTAAATATTGAAAATTCCAATCAGCTACTCAGTTATTTACTAATTATGACCTGTTTCTTGTGCTCAGATTAGGTAAATTCTAAAAAAGAAATCAGTGCAATGATACATGTTATAACTTGCCAGAAAAATTAAATGTCTGCTCAGGATTAATAAAGCAGAAATAGAAAAATGAGGTCTTGAAGAATTATTAGTCCATCAACTGAACAATGCTGATACATTATTTATGATTGTTAAAATTTGCCTGACGATTCAGAAAGCCAAGTGAGACACAGGCCATAGAAACCAGGCACACACCTTTAATCCCAGCAGCCAGAAGCTAAGAGGTGGTGGTACACACCTTTAATCCTAGGACTCAGGATTAAGAAGTAGATGGATCTCTCTGAGTTCAAGGGCACCCAGTTATACACAGGAGGGAATCAGTCTAGAAGAGAATTATAGCTCACACCTTTAATACCAACATTAGGGAAATATATGAGACAGAAGCAAGATCTCAGAAAGGCTTTTCATTCTTAAACCACAATGAGGAGAAGCAACAATTTGAGACTTGATGAAGAACTGAAGCATGGATCAGCCCTTTCAGCCTGAGCTAGAGGTGACAGTTAGTGGCCTTCTACTTTGCTTTTTCTGATATTCAGCTTGAATTGAACCCCAATATCAGTCTCTGGATCATTTATTTTTTGTGTTACAAAATTTATGGAGATTATATTTAAGCTAAGGAGATGTTTGGGTTGTGAGCCTAGCTGTTAACATGAAGTTGGGTGGGTGAAAAGGTGGGGAGGACCTGGGGAAGTTGGGGAAAAGGAAAATTATATAATCAAAATATATTGTATTAAAAAATTAAATGAAAAATAGTTTTTAAAATGCTAAAGTTAAAAAAGAAACAAAGTATATAAAGGGTGGAGATGAGCCCTTCTTTGGGGTCCTTATCCTTATTTTGATTACGCTTATTTTCCCTGAATCAACTCAAGTTATGAAGAATCCAGAGAGTCATACACAAAAGACTTTTCAACAAGAGATTATAGGAATCCAGCTAGTCAGCCTTTCAGGAAAACCTGTTTGCCCCTAACCTGGTCCCTCACCTATCCAAATGATTTCTGGAACACACTCCTGCTTTGTCTTCCCCTGTTATATGACATGAATTACATTACCCATCTATTTTCTTTCCTTCGAAAATCCTAAACTCTTGTCAAAACTAAATAAAGAGGGGACATGCAAATATTTTCATTCCATTCTGAACTTTTACCTACTTTGTGGTTATTTTATAACTTCAAATATTTGCTGAATGTGTGAATGATTGAAAGACCAAGGTATGATGTCAATAGTTATCAAAAAACATTATGATCCTGTGCTAGCGAAAGAGTCATCTTGTACCCTTCCTCCTTTCCTACTTGGATCATCTCCTACTCTTCACTCACAGAATGGGAGACTGGAGCAGAAAGAGCTTTGGCATCCAAGACTACTCCTGAATTTTAGTTTTGACTGCTTCCTTCTCTAAACAGGGTTCTTTATCATTTTATTCATATTGCTGCACCCTGTCCATGTGGGTCATAAGGAAGGAGAGAGACAACACTTAGACATACATTCTTTAAAGCAGTCTTTGTTAGTTTGAATAAACCTTAAGTAAGGAGAGACATTCTTAAGTCAATGATTTTTAACTTTTTTGTGATGCAGTATTACACAAATGCAAGACATGCAGGTCACCTTAGGCTACTCCTGTAAAAAAAATTCTTTTGACCACAAAGGGTCATGAACCTACATTGAGAAACAGCTCCAAGTTCTCTACCAGACTGTTTAAGGTCACAGTGTTACTGTATCATGAGATAGGAATATCCCAGTGTCTGCAGCTTAGTAGTGTGGCCCTAAGTTTAGTTGTTCAGTGACTATACAGAGTATCTGAGATTACAGTGTCATCTTGACCCTTTCTCAGTGTGAGCCTCTAAGCATAAAACTATGTTTCAGGTTGACATATTTCAGTTGACAAAAAGACCTAATCAGAAATAGAGCTAAAGTTGTTAAAAAAGGAAGGTTAGTGCCTTTGAATGTTTGCCCAGAACTATAGACCTTGATGGATTAGGTCTTTGTTTTATTGTTACCTAAACAGCCTTCTGAGTATTAGCCCTTTTGAGTTAATTTTCCTTCTTTTATAAATATTACAGATTTTTAGCCATCTTCAGTAATTTATAAGTTGTTCTGGTTAACTGTTTTTAGCTGTTCTGCTCTTTTCTTCCCATCCACCAGTTTTTGACCCAGGACATAGATTTTAAAAGCATGTTTGGTTCTGAAAAAGAGTGGGCCATAACCCAGTCCCACAGCCAGTCTTTCAATAAAGTACAATAGCATAAAACTTTAATATTATTCATACCATATTAACATCTGGATCCCTGTTACATTAGTTTCAGTGTCCAGAAAACCCAGGGACAAATTCTGAGTTCAGGCAGCTGGCTGCAACAGTGACAGCTGAGCTGTAACCAAGACACACAGAACATAGTAAACTCATACATTTAAGGCCAGTCAGAAATAAACTTGCAGTGATCACATTCATGCATTCAAAACAGACAGCCAAAACTTTCCTTATTTCCTCAGCTTGTAATTTTAAAATCTAGCTACCTGCAGATCTAATTTTCAAGGGAACCAAGAAAGCTACCCACCAGCCCAAGTGCTGTTTGCAGTACCCACCCTCCATCATTGAATTATTTCAGTTGTGACTCTGGTCTTTCTCAGTTGCTGGTGGCCATGTCAGAGGAGCAGCAGATGGCAACTGAAGTTTGGGGGTTGGTCCACCAGAAAGCAAAGCTCTGATGGGTGAATCTCAGATAAGCAAGGCCCTGAGGGCTTCAGCCCCAGAATGTCTCTTGTTACTGATGTGCCTTTACATGTTTGTCACTGCCATTTTTCTCTGGGATCTGGCATGATGTGAATGGGTGTGGGGAGATTCCCACTGCCTTTACTGTAGCATAATTGCCTCGTGGAAATATCCTGTTCAACTGAGCATTTCCACCGTGGATTAATTATTATGAAGATAATTTCTTCCTAAGTTGTACTGTTTAACTGAAGGAATGATTTTATACAAAAATAGTGCTATTTTAAAAAGATTTTGGTGATTGAGGTTCTTTAATAACTATAGTAAGATATTTTTATGGATGTTAGCTTAGTGGGAAAACTAATGTATGTAAAAGCAAGATATGGTGTTACCCCCACCCCTGACAAAGCAGGGGTTGCAGAGGATAGAAAATAAGAACAAGGAAAAGCCACGCAAGTTTCTCTTGAGGAGCCATATACACCGTGGCTTAGGTTAATGATTTAAACATGCACTGAGTCCCAGAAGGCCAGCCAGCTCAAATTCTTTTAGTCTTAATGTTTTGAGATGTGTACACAGATTTTGGTGTGCGTCATACCTAAAACGAAGCTTTAAATATGACTTGAGGTTAGATTAAATTGTTTTTGTTAATGGTTTTGAGGTTAAAATAAAATCTTGGAAGGCAATTCAAAGGCATACTTTTAATAGCTGAGTGAGGGACTCACTGAGGTCAGGAAGTAGGAACAATGGTAGCCTGGCTAATAATGGCTGGTGTGCCTTTTTTGCTAAGATGGGTTGGTGACCAAAGGCCAGGATTAATTTCTTGTACCCATTACTGATCTTAGCTTCCTGATAGAAAAACTGGTGATGATGAGTGTGCATCCTGAAGATTTAAAGTAGAGATGACTGATTGTTTTTCATACACGAAAGTTTCGATTTGTGATTCTTCTAAGAGGACCTTTAGAGATAAATAATAAAATGATTGGTCCTTTCCTTGTAACTGCAAAATGCAGCCTTCCAGCAAAAGAAATGGCTTTGAAAAATGCTTTCCTTGCTTATACTCGTAATCTGTCACAAGTTGTTTGGGAATGAATGTGTGTGGGTAATTAGGACAACTTGCTTTTCACCTGTAATACATAAAATGTTTAATCATGTAAGGGATATGGAGAACATGTTTCTTTACTTGTATTCATTGGAATCTTTTACTTAAAAGACAATGTATCCAGGTTGTAATTTTTGCTGGGTATATAAGTTGTAAGGAAAAAAATAAAGTTAATTAGAGTGAAGACATCAAAAAAGACAGAAGGGATACATCTGGATAGAGGTGAGAAAAGAAATAAAGAACACAGAGAGAAGATGATGGGGAGACCCTAAAGGGGTGTGTGTGTGTGTGTGTGTGTGTGTGTGTGTGTGTGTGTGTGTGTGTTTTCCTTTATTCACCAGCCCCAGAGAATTAAGTTTAGCCTTCCTTGCTGACCCCAGAGAATTAAGTTTTACTCCTTTAGATAGAAAAGTCAAGTTTGGCAACTCCATGGCTTCCCCCTTAATCCCTGAGCTGCTGAAGGCTGGCCCTCATGGCAGTGAAACTGGGTGGTGGCAGTGGCAGCACTTGGCTTAGAGGAGCTGTGGGTGCAGCGTGCTAGCTTGTCAGTTTTTGTAAAAGAGCCACCCCCACCCCACCTCAATACAAGCAACTAAACAAAACTACAGACACAAACTGACGGTGGACAAAAATTCGGAACGACCAGACAACAATAAGATGGACAAGATATCAGCCTATAAAAAGACACTGTCAGGACTTCTGTCCCACTTGATCTTGGACACCTGGTTCCCATGCCAGGAACTTCCTGAGGTAAGAGAGGCATCCTATTTCTTCCCTGGATGCAACTAATGCTGAGTCCAGCCTCTTTACTGAGTGCTAACCCTTGACACCAAAACCTTACCCGCCTCCAGAGGGCTTCCTAACTCTGCCTATGGGGTGATCTCAATGCCATTCCTCAATAGGGCAGTTCAGTGGAACCTCCAAATGGTATACCCTGTTCCTTGTGTGCCCCAAGGAAGGAGTGAGACAACACTTATGGTTCCAAAGACTTTAATATCACCACATAAGTGAAGTCACTGATTGATCAGGGCCGTAGGACAAGGACTCCGGAGCCTTGCTTTTCCTGTCAGTCCTGAGCAGGGGCAGAAAGCCAGTTTCATAAGCATAAAAACATAAACACACCTGTGCCAAGTTACAGGTACAATTTTTACTAATCAAGGTTCAAAGATTAGGGACTTTCCCTAAGTGTTCCATCATTGTCAACTGACATAAAATGTAAGCTTTTCAGTCCAACCAATCAGATTCATTTGTTGTTTGCTATCAGGAACAGCCACGATGTTTTAGAGAACTAAGGGGCATAACAAGCTATTTCTATCATCTAAAGAGGAGGTTGGTTAGCCATTGAAAGGTTCTCAGCTCCCTAATGCCTGAGAACCTGAACTTTGTTTCAGCCTATAGGTAAAAGGGAGTCTAAAGTCAAAATGACAGTACTTAGCTGTGGTGGTATTATTTATAATTTTTAAAAATTTGCCTGAGGATTCAGTAAATAAAGTCAGCCACAAGCTAGGCACACACCTTTAATCCCAACAGTCAGAAGCTAGGAGATGGTACACACCTTTAATCTTAAGACTCAGGATTCAGAGGTAGAGGCATCTCTCTGAGTTCAAGTCCACCCAGGTATAAATGAGATTGAATCAGTCCAAAAGAGTAACAGATCACTACCTCTAATCTCAGCACTATGTGTGCATAAAAGATAGAAGCAGGGTCTTCAGTATTGAGTAGGAGGCATTCATTCTCCAGGCACACTGAAGATAGGAGAGATTCATTCTCCAGCCAACCTGAGGATAGCAAGACATTGCAGCCTCAAAATTCTCCCCAGTCACGCTGAGGAGAGACAGCAGTTTGAGGCTTGGTGAAGAAGTTGTTCATGGATCAGTCCTTTCAGCCTGAGCTTGAGGTGAGAGCTAGTGGCCGGCTCTTTGGCTTCCCTGATCTTCAGGTTGAACCCCATATCAGTCTTTGGGTCTTTTATTATTCGTGCAAAACTTAGCGCAAGGTGCTTTAGCCTGCTCCCTATAATATTATGGTAATAATGGACATGGAGTGAGGTATTACATTCAGGGCATTGACACAAGGCAGTTGCTCTGCATTCTCTCACAGCAATTCTCCAATAGAGTATTGTTAAAAACATCAGGGGATGAGACTAGACGTTTAATGCTGTTAATCTCTACAACACATTCTGCAGTAATTCTACCATTTTCATAGATTTAGTACTTAAGAGCATTGGTTGGCTGTTACGATAAATCTTTCCGCCAAAGCTGTGGAGCCCTGCCGCTCTACGCCAGCCGCCTGCCCGAGTTAGGGCGCAAATTAATGCACAGAGAGATTTGTGTTAGGTACAATGCTGCTTGGCCAATGACTAGGAATCTCATCTGTTAACTTAGTCTCAATTATCATAAATCTATATATTTTATAAGACTTATCTTATAGAGGATGCCTTTCGCTGGCACCCTCTCTTGCCAGTGGCTCACATCCCGCCGCTGGAGGAGGCAAAGGGGAAAGACAGATACTTCCTGTTTTCCTTGCTAAATATGAGTCTCCTTGCCTGGATCACCACTTCTATACTACATTTCCCAGAATCCTCCTTGACTCCTAGTCCTGTCTCACTTGCTGTCTTTGGAGAAACAGTATTTTATTCAACAATCAATAAGATAAACTTACACAGAAGTATTTTACCCATAATTTCCTCTTTTCTGTCTAAATAAAAAGAAGGATAACTTATCTTTTATAATAACTGAAGAAAACTATAACCATAACTATCTGTCTTCAACTCTATCAAAGACCACAGAAGGATAATATATAAACTCTAGAATTGACAGACACATCTCGATACCTGGACAGTCACCCAAGTTCCTCTGTAACGTTGGGGCATCCATCTTCAGCTCATAGGCCACAGTGTGTCTGGCACACTTCTCCATTTCAACAGGAACCCTTCAGTACTGTCTTGTTTTGTAAGTTCAGCAGTCACTTTCTTGTGGGTCCTACATATACAGCAACAAACAGTCCAGGCAAGAGCAGTTTCTTGCTCAAATGGCTAATCTTGCCATGTTTAAAGCAAACTCCATAACAAGTTTCTTCATCCTCCTTTCTGACGTAATTGGTGTGCCAGGAGCAGTTGTGTCTCACTGCCAAGAAAAACCCTAAACCATTTAAATGCCATATTTCTGTAGGTCTTTGAAAGGTTTGAAGAATACTTATCCATCTCAAATACATCTGTGTATATCTAGAAGACCTAACTAACCTAATTATAAATTCTGACTATTATAGGTAAAAGATCTGTATAAACACAATACCTAAACAAGAGGAGACATATACCTGTCACAAAATTGACCTTAAAGTTGTATCAATAAATGAAAATCCATACCAATGCAAAGTATTCATTCCTCTATCCTATTCCTTTTTCTTTTCTTTAAAAAGAGATTGACTATGCTCATTATCACTTATAACCAACCCCATTTAAATGAAAACAAACATTTATAAACAATATTTGGGGATTTGGGCATCGTTCTTTCTAAACTGTTTCCTGCTGATTGGGCGTGATGTTCATATACCATGGGGATCATGATAAAAAATAGAAATCTGACCAAGTCCTTGTTTTTGTAGTCTGTAAGGCTGTATCATCTCAGCTTCAGGGGGTCTTGCTTGATCAAACCATATTAGTCTGGAAGGAATCCACAGCTTTCCATTTTCTGTGGAAACACAAGCAGAAATTCTATTTCCAAGTAGTCTGTCATTAGACTTAAATTTTGAAATCAAAGCATTTTTAAAATGTATAAGTTGGATTAATTTAGCAGCATTTATAATCAAATGTATTGTAGCAGCAGTAATTCTTTCCTCGGCAATCAAACAATTTAAAGACAACAATATGGCATATAGTATCCAGATCCTCTATGTATTTTCCATCTTTATGTGGCTTTTCTATTACTTTATTTTTACTTTCTTTTGTTTCTTTTTTCCCAAGACAGGGTTTCTCTGTGGAAATCGGCCTGCCTCTACTTCCTTCAGCAAATCCTACTAGCGTGTGCCACCACAACCTGCTATTCTTTTTCCTCCTGTTATTTTTTCTCTCACAAGCCTACATATATTTTTAAACACAGTGTAAACCTTTAGAGGTTTTTCTTTCTCTGGATCTGTTTTTACTGTAAATCTTTACCTTTTTCTGGCCACCAGTCTTTTAGCTGTTAAACAATACCACCAAAATTAAAGTGACGGCTTTCTTAGCCACTGTCTTCGATTTTTTTCTGCTTTTGCTGAGTCAGGAAATCTCTCTTAAAGCAACCACTCAAGTCTCTGCTTGTCTCTAGCAAAACAGAGACCACCCCCAAAAATGCTGCTAACATGAAGTTGTGCTTGTCTCTGATCTTTTGCTGCTAAGATCCCTTTTTAAGCTTTTGTGAAGTTTACATGGAAGTTCGTAACACTACCTCCAGCTACCCGGGGTTCTGCCACTTTTTGACTAGTCTCCAGAAGACAGGAAGGCGGCTTGTGGCGGTGAGAGCTCAGAATCCTAACCCTAGAACCCTCAAGGGCTGCAGGCCGTCTCCGGAGTGCAGGAGTCCAAACCACAAGCATGCGGGGACGGCGGGAGCCTATGGGAGCTGCTCCGATGCCTCTCAGCAGCCAGACAGGGCAGGCTGTGGTGGCAGGTTTCCCTCTTTCTCTGGGAACCTTGGGGCATGGGGTCATCCGGCTCACTGACACCAGTTGCCCTCCAGGGACCTGTGTTTTATTCCCAGGACTCATATAGCAGCTCACGATGAACCATCTTTAGCCTCAGTTTCAGGGGATTTGACGCCCTTCTTGTTTCTGCAAATGCTAAGTGCATGGGGTAAGCAGACACACATGGAAGCAAAATGTCCATGCTCATTAAATAAATCATTTTTCAAAATCATCAGGAAAATGCATGACTGGAAGTGATTCATTTCTTCTTTCCAATCTAAAAAAGAAAGTCGAAAGTAAATTAATATAAATTTTAGTCTACTAGACATATATGCACCAAACACTGAGGCACCAAATTTCATTAACAGATCTAATACCAAAAATTGGCTCCCACATGGTAACATTGGGTGGTTTAATGTCCCACTCTTGCCAATATACAGGTCATTTCTGCCATATAAAAAGCCTACATAGAGAAACCCTGAAGTTATATGACATCATGCACCAAAAGGCCCTAGCAGAATCTACTTTCCACCCAAACTCTTCAGTAACCTTGGCTGCTTCCAATTCTGTATGCAGTTGTCTACCACATTCTCACAGCTCTTGAGAAACAAACTCCAACTAAAGCATTAGCCCCCTGATGGGGTGTGGTCTGGAAAATCCTAGGAAGAAATCTTTTGCTTTTAAAAAATATGTTCTTAGTATTCCCCTTCATTCATCGTCTGATTTTGTTTATACATTTTTCTATTTGATGGCAATATTTTTTTAATTCTTGGATTCTCCAACTCTGTGTTTCCTTCCTTATTCCACTCCTACATTGAGTAATATTCTGTCTTTACCTTACAGGGTGTTTTTTTTTTAATTAAAGGTTTGTTTATTGTATTGTATGAATGTTTCACCTGCCTTTATGTCTGTGCACCATGTTCACGCCTGCTAGCCATGAATGTTAGAAAGAAGTGTCAGTTATCCTGGGAATTGGAATAATAAATGATCATAGACCACCCTGTGGGTGCTGGGAATCAAACCTAGCTCTTCTGCAAAAGCAACAAGTGCTGTTAACTGTGGAGCCATCTCTCTAGCCTCTTTTTGTTTTTTGTTTTCTAATACTCATGTTTTTGCTTTTTATTCCCTTTTTTACATTTATCCTTTTGGATTTTGGTTTTTCTTTATGAGAGTATTCTTTTGTTTTTCCTTATCCTCTTTCTTAGTCTTCCTATACTTTGTCTTGTTCTTCCCTCTATTACATCCTTTACTCTTCTTTTTTTCCTTTAACTTTGCTTCTCCTCTATTTCTCTCCCTTTCCTGTTTCCTTACTTTATTTCATTAGTTTGCTATTTCTATACTTAACCCAAATAATGTTTATCTTTATAGCACATTCTACAGGACTGCCATTTTCAAGTGTGGTCATTGGTTTGTGCCCAATTTTAAGTGTATTTTGTGTAGTTTGGCTGATGCTAAAGCAGTTTGCTTTCTTCTCACTGGGGGATACTGAATGGTGCTGTGGACTGACCTTTCAAAAACAAGGTGTTCAATGTGAAGACCCCATTTCAAAAAGGAGAAATCCCCAAACTAACAGATGTGCAAATGACAGCAAAGAAATGCTAGAAACATGACAAAGCAAGACAGCATGGTCCCCCCCCCCCGAACTATTGAACTCAAAGTTACTGAAATAGGTAAATGTTAGGTTGTGATTTCAAAGGGTTTCTTGCAAAATATGACCTCATAACCTGGAGAGAAAAGGTAGAAATAGAAAAAAAACAAGACAGTTTATGGCCACCAAACCAGCACTGTAAAAGATACTTGAAAATATTATACACAAAGAAGAAATGAAGACAGTTTCAATTATAAGAAACAAGAAATTTCATGAAAGGAATAGATAAAGGAAAGCTAGGAAAATCCATGGTACCCAACACAGTAAAGCAACCAACACCTGATCCTAATAGAGAAGAAAGTAAAGAACAAACCATAATCCAACCAGCCAGAAAACAGTCAACTAACTTACAGAAATCAGTAATAATTCCAAATGTGAGTGACCTCAACTCACCAATAAAGAAATGCAATCTAATTGTACTAAAAACTAAATCCAACCAATTTTTTCCAAGAAATACATATTATTCATCATAATGCTATAAGCTGAGATCAAAAATAGAAAAGAATCTATCAGTGAATGGAAACTGAGGAACAAGCTGGTATAGTTACTCTGATGTCTGATGAAGTAGACTTCTACCAGAATTAAAGAGGAGAGACAAAGAAGGCCACAAGGGAACAACTGACCCAAAAGGTATAATTGTAAATATATATGGACTTAATGTTTAGAGATCAAATTTCAGTTTTTTAAATTTTCTATTCATTTTACAAGCCAACCACAGTTAATCTCCCTTCTCTCCTCTGACTTTCCTCCACGTTTCCCTCACACCCCATCCACTCCTCAGAAAGAGCAAGGACTTCCCATGGGGAGTCAACAAAGCCTGGCACATCCAGTGGAGGCAGGACCAAGCCTCTCCCCCTGCATCAAGTTTAAGAAAGGCATCCCACCATGGTGAATGGGCTCCAAAAGGCAGCTTATGCACCAGGGATAGATCCTGGTCCAACTGCCAGGGGCCCCCAAACAGACCAAGCCACACAGCTTAGACATCAAAGTTTACAAAACAAATACTAAGGCACATAAAATGTCACATACATACTAATGCAATATTATTGGGAGATCTCAGACCCCCAGTCTGTATCTAGATGAAGTCATTCAAACAAAACAGAATTCAAAAGTAAAGTACACCATAAAGCAAATGGATACTAGATACATAAAGAGTATTCTATTCAACATAAACCGATTACACATTTTCCTCATCAGGTCATGGAACCTCATCTAAAATAGACCACAAATCAAATCTTAGCAAATACAAAAGAGTGAAAAACAAGATCTTGAAGTTTTTTTAGGTCACAGTGTGACAAAACTATAAATCAACAGAAAGAAAAACTACAGAAATGACATAAATACATGGAAAATGAACAACATACTTTTGAATGAACAGTGGGTCATTGAAAAAATTAGAGAAGAAATCAAAAAGTTCGAATAACCAGATAGGCAGTGGTGGCACATGCCTTTAATCCCAGCACATGGGAGACAGAGGCAAGGGGATCTCTGTGAGTTCAAGGCCAGCCTGGTCTACACAGTGAGTTCCAGGACAGGATCCAAAGCTGTATCTAGAAACCCTGTCTCAAAATAACAACAAAAAATATCCAATAACCAAATAAAAATGAAAGAGCAGATGACCAGAACCTTTGGGCTACAAGGCAGTTTATACCTCTGGGTGCTTACATTTAAAATATCTGAAAAATCTGAAATAAATGCCCTAATGATGCACCTCAAAGTTTTCAAAAACCAAGAGCAATTCAAACCCGCAAGCAATAGACAGCAAAAAATAATAACAGGACAGAAATCAGTGAAATTGAGGCTAAGAGGCTGGTATGTCATACACACACACACACACACACACACACACACACAAATATTTCTGTTTAGCTTTTACAGCAAAGCAAAGTCTGACATTAGATTCACAGGTGAATTCTATAAACCTTTAAAGAATACCTAACACTGATACTCCCCCAATTGTTTCTTAAAATAGGAAAGGAAATACACCTACCAAACTCTTTCTCTTAAACAAAGCCAGCACTACTCTAATGTCAAAACTGGATGAAAAACATACACACACACAAAAGAAAACTATAAACTAATTCCCATGATGAAAATGGATGCAAAATTGTGTAGTGGGTGGGGTTTTTTGTCAGGACCGTCAGCTCCCCAATAATGACACAGAGACTTATTATTATTGTGAAAGGTGGCCAATAGCTTAAGCTTGTTTCTAACTAGCTCTTATAACTTAAATTAAACCATTTCTATCAACTCACTTTCTGCTTTGTGGCTTTATTATCTCATCTCTATAGTGTCCATCCTGATTGTTCTGAGTCTTTCTGGGCAGAGAGGATGCTGGGAAGAAGGCAGGTAAAACAACAATACAAATTAAACAATTTAAAATTTAAAACAAATAATTAGGAATAAACCTATCCAAGGAAGTGAAAAGACCTCTATAATGAAAACTTTATGACACTGAAAAATGAAACTGGAGAAGATAGAATTGCATTCATGGATTGGTAGAATGTCTATTTTGAAAATGACTATATTACTGGAAATAATCTACAGATCCAATATAATCTGCATCAAAATCTCAATGACCCTCTCTATAGAACTAGAAAAAGTAATCCTAAAATCCATTATGCATGCACAAAAGACTCAAAAATGTCAAAGCAATCTTTAGGAAAAATAAATTCTGGAGATATCACAATACTGGACCTCAAATTACAGATCAGAACCATAATAACAAAAATAGCATGGTACTGTCACAAAAACAGATACAAAACCAATGAAGTAGAATCATAGACTCGGGGGAAAAACCTACATTGATTCAGCCACCTACCTAACTTGGAAAAAATGGATGCCCACATTTAGAAGAATGAAACTAGGCCCTTATCTCCTACCATGCACAAAAACAAACTCAGACCTCAGTATGGGAACTGAAACCTTGAAACCGCTAAGAGAAAATACTTCAAAATATAGGCACAAGAAAGGATATTCTGAAAAGAACTTCAGTAGCACAGGAAGAAACCTCTCTAAGATGACAATGTCACCACACTAATTTAAATAGCTTAAGCATCACAAGGGAACTGAAATAATCTTCAGAATGGGAAAAGTCTTTACTAATTATGCATTAGACAGGGCATATACAGAACTACAAAAATTAAACACAAAAATAAACAAACAACAAATGGACTAATGAATTGAGTAGATGGCTCTCAGAAGAATAAATACAGGTGGCTAGGAAACATGTGAAAAGGTGTCCAGCATCCTCAGCCATCAGGGAAACACAAATTAAAATTTACTGGAGATCCTCTCACCACAGTCAGCATGACTTTCATCTGAAGGAGGGTTAAAGGAAGTCCATGAACACCCAAAAAAAGAATAACATATATTCATTTGGGGAGCACTCACACAATGAAGGAAAATAACCACTACAGTCTTCTGCCCCTGGAGGCACAGGGCCTGTGATGCAGGACTCTCAGACTACAACCAAGAGAAAGCCCTAGTGAGGCCCCTCCTCTTCCTTATAAGGGATCACATCCACACACAGAAGACCATTACCACAAGTGTATTGGTGGAACAAGATGACACTACATTTCCCATTTTTGTATAAATATGAGGGTTTTAAACCTGATACAAAAACCATATATAATGACAACAGATATCAAGTATAGCCCAGGAGAAAGAAAGGTAAAACATACATGAATTCAGACCTACAACCAGTAAGAGCAACATTAAGCAAGAAACATACTAAATGTCCAGGTCAAAGGTAATGGCATATAACAAAGATTACCCCAATAGCTGTCCTATTCTGGAAAGCATAAGTCTTGTACCTAATATGCTCTAGCTAAGAGAGGATGTTAGCTGTGACTACATAGTCTTCAACTTCATCAAAGACCTGAAAAGAAAAATAACTTTGTTAGGGTAAGCAGGAAGTGCAAGCAGGTGACTTCCCAAAGATGCAAGAAATGACAGAAACAGTTGGCTACCTGGACAGTCATCAAAGGTCTCACAAACATTAAGGGGCAACCAATGTTAGCTAAGACCTAGAGTTCCAGTTGGAACTGGGCAAGTTCCAATTGGCAACTGCTTTCAGAGCTCAAAGCAGTTGCCAATCAGAATTCTGAATATGTGTCTATTGTATTGTGTGCATATTTTGATTTTCCAAATTCTGCAAAATGAAGCACATCTATTTGCCAAATTTCATTTCTATGCATACATTTAGGGTTACTTCCCACAGATAAAGGAGTTTGGTTGTATAGAAGGAACATGGAGGGCATTTTTTTTACAATTTCCTTGGCTTGTTGCCAAGTGATGGAAAAATTCTTTTATTAAACCTTTGCTATTCACAGGGTGTTTTTTTAAAAAATACTGAGACCTCCAGCAGACTCCTATTAATCAATCAATATATATAGGATGATTCCTATTCCTGATTATTAACTGTAATTGTATAAATAACAAAGTTAATTCTGTATTATTAGGAATAAATTCATCATTTTCCATGTGTAAGACAACTCTCTGCATGTTGAGAGTCAGTAACTATATTGAGAGATTCTGTAAAGTCCATTAGTACCATAAGAATGGCATATAATTATATCTTTTGCACAGAGTTATAAGGGCTTTGAACCACTTTACTTATATCTCCTGATTTATATCCTGCCTTACCTGATTTGTACTTTTTGTGGTTTAATTTTTTGTGATCTATTTTATATCTTAAGTAATTAATAGAATCTGCTCTCTGTATTTTTTCAAGAGCAATTCATAGTCCCCAGTGAGGTAAAACTTTCTTTACTTCCTTGAAAATTTTTAATGTCTCTGTCTTTGGATCAGCTAATAAAATATCACTCATATGATCGTAAATTGTGGATTGTGGAAATTGTACACAAATTATTTCCAATGGCTTTTGTAGAAAATATTGGCACATGATGGGGCTATTTCACATTCCCTGTGGGAGGATCTTCCATTGGTATCTCTTCACCAGCTGAGAATTATTGTAAGTAGGCACCAAGAAGGCAAAAATTTCCCTGTCTTTCTCTTGTATAGTGAATAAACAGTCTTTTAAGTCACTAACTATAGTAGGTCATTCTTTAGGTATCAGAGAAGGCAAGAGTATTCCAGCCTGTAGAGAGCCCATTGGCTGAATTACTTTATTAATGGCTCTCAGGTCTGTAAGCTTTCTCATTTTCTACATTTCTTTATAATAACAAATACAGGAGGATTCTAAGGGCTTATAGATTCTTCAATATGTACAGCAGCTGTTTTAGAGCCTCTAGCTCCTCAGAGGTCATAGGCCATTACTTCATCCAGTCAGAAATGGCAGTTAGCCATTTTAAGGCTAGGGCTTTTGGTCCTCTGTAAGTTCAACACTAGTTATATTCTAGTTTTGTGCAGCCTGGATAATCGAAGACTGTTTTTTTTTATAGTGCTTTATAATATTTTTTCCACAAACATGAGTTGTTTTATGGTTCATTTCTGATACTGAAGGAATGTTAATCTGGGTATTCCATTCCTGTAACATCACAACCCCATATATTTATTGCTATATATTACCCACATATGGTCTCAGCCTTCCTCTTTGTCCTTCTGGCCCTATACATTCAAACCATCTCGTGCTTTGTTTACCCAAGATAGGGTTTCAATCCCTAAGAATTTAACATCTACTTCCTGAAGAGGCCAACTTGGATGCCAAGATTCTGGAGTGATAATGGTGACATCGCCACCTGTGTCCAGTAATCCTTCTAGTATAACATTATTTATTTGCACTCTTAGTTTTGGTCTTTGGATATTTATAGAAGTCTGACAAAATATACATTTCCTGTTTCCTCCTTGAATTTTTGATTCATCCTCCAAAGCTATTCTATTATCTGGAGAAGTGTGGTTTTTCACAATAGGCACTGGATTTCCTAATTGTTTTGGAGAGAGGACTGTCCTCCAAAGTAACAGTGAATGACTACACCGATTTCTACATGGGGGCCAGCAAGAAGCTCCTCACAAGGAGTTTCCAGATGCTAAAAGGTTGCCTTTTTCATCTCTTGCTGATCTACTTTCATTGGCCAATGTTGGCCTTTGCCACATCTTCTACATAATCCAGAAGATTGGGGCCTTCTTTTTGGATCATTCCCAGAATAAGTATTATTTCTAATAATGCTCTGTGAACAATTTCTTTCCAGATGGCCTATTCTACCACAATTAAAACATTTGGAATTCTGATGTCTCCTCATAGCTTTGGAAATCGCTTCTACACAGCCAGTTTTATAGTCAAAAGAACCAACATTGGCTGTATGCAAGATCCATTCATCCATTGGTACTGATCTGATCTTTAAAGGCCCAAGTACCTATTTGCATTCTAAATTAGCATTTTTCATTAAAAATCGTATTTCAACAAAGAATTACCAAAACTTTTCTTTTGGTTTTTTTAATGCCTTATTTTTTCCAAGAAAGTATTTTTTATTACTTCAAATTAGAAACAAGCCTGCTTCACATGTCAATCCCTTCTCCCTCTCCCTCTCCCTCCCCTCCTCCCCTATCCTCCACTAACCTCCTACTCCATCCTCCCTCTGCTCCCTAGGGAGGGTAAAGCCCTTAATGGGGGATCCCCAAAGTCTGTCATATCATCCTGGGCAGGGCCTGGGCCCTCCCCAGTGTGTCCAGGCTAAGAGAGCATCCGTCCCCTTGGAATGTGCTCCCAAAGACCTTTCTTACTCCAGGGATAAATACTTATCTACTACCAGAGGCCCGATAGAGTGCCAAGGTCTCCTCACTGACGTCTACATTCAGGGGTCTAGATCAGTCCCATGCTGGCCTCCCAGACATCAATTTGGGGTCCATGTGCTCCCCCTTGTTCAGGTCAGCTGTTCCTATGGATTTCACCAGCTGGGTCTTGTTCCCTTTGCTCCTCACTCCTCCCCCTCTGCAACTGGATTCCAGAGTTTCTGTTCAGTGTTTAGCTGTGGGTGTCTGCCTCTGCTTCCATCAGCCACTGGATGAAGGCTCTAGGATAGCATATATGGCAATCATCAGTCTCATTATAGGGGAAGGCATTCAGGGTAGCTTCTCCACTATTGCTTGGATTGCCAGTTTGTGTCATCCTTGTAGATCTCTGGAAACCTGCCTAGTGCCAGATCTCCCCTCGAACCTATAATGGCTCCCGCTATTATGGTATCTCTCATCCTGCTCTCCTCTAGTCTTGCCCAGACTTGTTACGATAACATGCCATATGGTAAACTTTACAGATGTCTCTCAGAGAACTCTATTTCTCTTTATTTCCTAGTCCCTATTCAACTAAACCAATGCTGGATTTAGAGGTAGATTTGGCTTTCCTCCTCTAAAATCCAAGCACGTTATTTAACTAAACTTTAGAGTTTTTGTATTGAATCAAGAAACCAATTGATGTAATACAGAATAAAAGAAGAATTTGGGGACTGTCTTTGTCTTTTCTTGGATCTTTCTCTCAAGGTGTACACCCTCTCATAATTGTTATGCTCTCATGGATGCATTCCCCAGCATGTGTACATACACAAGCAAACATTTCTCTGCTAACTGTTTATGTTTGAGTCCCACACAACCAATGAAGACCTGCCTGACAGCAATCCCTGGACACCCTGGAAAGAAAATGGGTCACACCTCCTCGACTGCACTGGATCCAACTTGCTCCATTTCAACTGACACTCCGGCCAGAGGTTCAGGTAC